GCGCCGCCATGTTTAGGTCATCAACCTAATGCATTATATGCATTATGCAAGGGAATTTCAATTGTTCTTCCGTTTATTTTGTGCATTCCTAAAGGGATAGTTCACCAAAACATAAAAATTCTGTCATTATTTTTTCACCCTCCTGTCATTCCAAACCTGTATGAGTTTTTCTTCTGTTTAACACAAAAGAAGATATTTTCATTTAGAACTGTTCCTTTAACATCATCCGATGATACTGTTAGAGACTAATTGCACATAATCTCACAAAAGTGACATAATCAGGTTGATCTGGAGTTCAGCAAAGCTACTCTGTCGCATTAAGCCCCAGAAAGCCAACAAGATAATGCAGACTGTATGCGGGCTTGTCTTAAAGAGATATACAGGCATCAGTTTCTGTCTGCTTGTGTTGTTGGGAAGAGCAGGGATAGAAAATGGAAGAAATGGCAAAGGCCCTTCTAGATATTGTTGAATATGGTTAAAGATAGCGTGTGCTCCTCCTCTCATGTTAGACAATTTGATACGGTTGAACAAGCAAGAGAAAAGACGGTCTGACTTTCTTTCTCTGCCTACTGAAAGATCTATTCATAGATAGTTTGAGTCTGAGAAGCCATGCCCACGGACCGCCCACACAGTGCTTTCACTGACCATCTGATGCATTTTCACACTAAACTGGATAGTACTTTATTGATCTGCTATAATCTGATTGGCTTTCTCCACTTGCGGAAATAAGGACATGCATTTTTTTTCTTTCAGTGCACCTGGAAACAAAGATGTGTTTACTTAGCAGGTAAACTGAACATTAATGACCAGAAATGTATGTTCTGAATTATGTCTGTAAATAGTCAGTACTTTTAGACGTTAATACAGGATGACATATTGGAGCCAGTATACAGTATTTTACAACTAACAAACAATATATATCATTATATTTCACCCAAAAATGAACATTTGCTTAAAAAATGTACTCAGATGTAGATGAGTTTGTTTCTTTATCGGAACAAATGAAAAATGTAGCTTTACATCACTTTCTCACCAATGGATCCTCTGCAGTGCCGTCAGAATGAAGAGTCCAAAAAGCTGATAAAAACATCATTATAATTCACAAGTAATCCATACGAGTATATCAATTAACGTCTCGTAACGTGAAAAGCTACATGTTTGTAATAAATGAATCAAGACATTTTTAACTTCAAAGCATTTTTTCCAGCATAAATTTGAGTCCTCTATCGAGTGAAAAATTTGTCTCATCTGAATGAGGAAAGAAATATGCACAAATCAAGCACCGTTTACTAATAAAAAACAGTCCAAAACAGTTCTGAACAAATATGTCAATGGATTTTGATGTAGGAGAACAGGGGAGGGATTCTTCTCTGGAGGAAGTTTTATTGTGAATTATGGACTCAGTAACAGCTACACTGTACAAATACACTGTAAAAAATATTTGTAATTTTTACAGAAAAAGACTGTAAAAATGCTTAAGTAAAAACCTGTCAAATGGTTAACTGTAAGTTACCATACCATGTACAGTGAAAAATTTTAAATGGTTTAACATTGCCTTAAATTTATTGCAAAATACTGTCTAATGTATGATTTTTAAAAACTGAATTATCATTTAATTTACATTGAAAACAGTAAAAGGACATTCCCAGAATCTCTTTTAATAGAATAGTCTTGCTATCTAAGTTGGAGATTTTGGCCAGATTAATGTACTTCTTAAATCAGACCTTTGTTAGTATGTTAGACTAATTCATAGAGTATACCCTGTCTAATAATTTTTGTATTCATTATTTAAAAATATTGCTAGAAAATAATTCTAGCTCCATTCAGTGACTTTACTTCCAGTGTTTTTTGTTGAACTGTTGTTTTTTTTAGTGTCTGTTAAATGTGTTACCATGTTAAACATGCATATTAAACCAAAGAAACAGAATGTGTGTGTGTGTGTGTGTGTGTGTGTGTGTGTGTGTGTGTTAGTAGTAGTAGTAGTAGTAGTTGATGATGATCTTAGATGATTCTAGATGATGATCTTGTGGATCAAAAGCTCAGGACAATGGAAATAGTCTTTTCACAAGTTGGAAAGGTGATGGTGCTCCTAGCAAAAACACCAGCTCTCCCAAATCACAGCTCATTACAAATAGTTGCATTTATATACATCGACAGTAGCTTTTTATCACGAGCACATGTGGGATGGAGCCCCCTTTATTCAATTACCGCTGTCTTGTTCAGTAGATAGAATGAGGAGAAAACAGTTTCCATCCTGCATGTGTCATATTATCTTTAGGAAGATTTTTTTCTCTGGAAGCAAGATGGCCTGGTGGCTGTGTGAAGTGACAGGGCACAATTCCCAAAATCACAGTGCTGGACATGAACAGATAGTGAAAGGGAGCAGAAATGTGTCCATCACTCACACGCACGCATTGGGTAGGAGTGCTGTTAACTGAATGAAAAAGGCCTGGGAGAGGCTTTCACATAACACAAATTTAACTGCCACTGTCAGCTAAGGACAGATATGATGGAGCCTGTGGCCTAGATACTGGCAGTAGCCTAGAAGAAGCACTGTATGCTGGATGAATGTGTGTGTAACGTTCAGTATCCGAAGGGCTGGATGGGAATGTTTTTTAGCATGAGAAGGGTGCATATGTATGACTGGTTGTCAAATTATGCCAGAGGGTGGGTTTATCTACAGATATTTTCCCTGAAAGTTTGAGTTAGAATAGTTTGCAAGAGCTCAATTATAAACAGACTATAAAAGCAAACTAGTGAGTAGATGAGTTTACCTGTTCGGAGACGTTTAATGCCCCCGAAGACCTCTGTACTCTCATTTAGCCACTTGTTAGCAACCCGCTTTTTTAAGATAAGTTAAAGGTTTAAAAAATCACAATGGGGTATTACTGATGTATTTTATGTTGTAGAATAAAACAAAAAAATATCTTGTGCATTTAACCAAAAACCTATTTAAATACCCATTGACTTCAGGACAGTGGAACGAGATGTGCTAAAATGAAAACCTGTTTCTGACTTTTGGCTGACAAAAATGTCATCCTTTCAGCACTCTATTATACAAAATATACAGGTCATTGAGCAAATTTTGAGACCACAGACTCCAGTTTCGGGGCAAGCTGTCACGGTGGAACCTGCCATAAATAGCCTATTACAGGATTTTTAAAATGAGAGTACAACAACAAATCCTGTTATCCTGTGAAACACTGTTAAGCCACTGTTAACACTGTTTAGTTGAAATCTGCCTGAATAATATAGTTGACTCTAGTCTAGTCAGAATATCTTTCACATGTTTTATTGTGTTCACTTAACCAGTAAGTTGTCATTTATGAGATGCTTTAATTCAAAGTGACTTCCAGTGCTCTTGTTACAGGGACAAACCCCCAGAGCAGCCTGGGGTGAAGTGGCTTCTCAAAGCCTCAGTGACGATGTCTCATGACTTTACATTTACAAGTAATGAGTTTTTACCCCCTACATGACCCCACAGTAAAAAAAAATAACAACAGAATTAGCAGTATTTGTGTAGTGTTTTTGTGGTCAGTATTTATAGAGCAAAGTTTTCATGTAACTGGTCACCTAAAGAAAAATAACATACAGATTAAGTTATTTAAGTGTCCCAACAACCGTTATGCAGAAACATTTTTTTTTTATTTAAACTTTTTTTACAAAATACTGTTGAACTGCAACAAAAAACATAATATGCTTAAATAATTATTATATTACTGTTAATAATATCATCATATAGATTGGCTTCTAGTATTGATAGTATTCAAATTTAGGCCCTAGCCCGAGACACTCAGGCCCTACCTAGCCCGGCCCGTGTCCGACAGCTTATCAGAATTACCAGCCCGAGCACGACCCGAGCCCGTCTTTTTTTACCCCTTCTCCCAAAACAGCTTATACTACTGTTTCAGCTATTAAAATAGTTCAGCTTTGTATGTAATGGCAAAGTGATTATATTTCGTTTATTTTTTTTATTAAGTTAATTTAGAAAAATGTTTGGAGCATTTTTTTGTTCGTTAAATATAAGTTTTTGTTTTTGAAAGTAACGACCAAGCGGCTCGATCATCGCGACTTGCCTAAAATAAAATCTATAGATATAAAACAGTTCATGCATATAACAATGTTTAAACCTAGATAAATGTGCGCTGTATCCAATCGTTTGTGCGGAGAGTGGAGGCTAAAGCGCGCTTCAGGACATGGAGGCACCAGCGCGATCACTTGCATTTTTTTCAGTGGAAACAACTTAAAATATGCTGTCATTTTTGCTCATAAAGGTATGAGTAATACATCATTCGGAACTGTAAAGGGTATACTTTTATTTGTGTGCACTCACAATATCAACAAAACGTTGTGCTTTTATAAAATAAAGAAAACAAACATGATGTGCTTTCTGCCATCTCGGTCTTGAACAGGAGCGCTTCACAAAAATGAACTGAAACTCAGCGAATACATGCCGCACAGACATGATAAATATATCTATAGAAAGCTTTAAATTACTACTTAACGAAATAAAACAAATCGAAAATAAAAACTCTTTCATTATAATCATAATCCGTAAAGATGCATTTCTCTCTAAAGGCACGCGCGTCTAATGAGGAGATGGCAAGTCAGGATCGTCATCTTCATCTTTGCGACACAGACTCAGAATCACTAGTTTATTAGTAAATAATTCAAAAATCTCCTTACTATTTCCCCCTGACACATTCATGGTAATTACTTTTGCCGGTGCTTTGCAGCAAGCTTTAGCCTATTGCGGGCATTTGAACGTGGAACTCTTCAGCTGTGCTGACTGCACTCTCGCTGCTGCTGCTGCTGCTGCTGGACACTAAACACTGTTGAGCCGCTCTTGACAGTAAGATGATTTTTGAACTTTTGTTTAAAGAATTTTGATTGTGCATGTTGAAAAACAAAGAATTAGTAACTGGAAGTTAAACTAGAGACCTGTGTAATTCTGCTGCAGTAAAACTATTTGACTAGTCAATGCATCCTGGTGGCATTAGAAAAAAAAAAAAAACATGTTTGTTTTAATTGATGTGTTCAGTATCTGTACTCCGTTCACAGTTTTACTGCAGCAGAATTACACAGGTCTCTAGTTTGAGTAATTGTGTAGCACGGTCTTGTGTTGTTGTCGTGAAGGCGCTGTGTGTTTCGTTGTGAAAGCGAAACTACTTTGGCCTATTATCCAAAAGAGGATAATATCCGCTTCGTCATGCCTGGAGCTGATTCGTGCTGGTCGCTGAGGAAATACATCAACTTCGCGCTGTGGATCGCCGGATCGGCTTTCACCGTGGACGAAGCGGAGTCTAGCCCGGGGTCGTCACATGTGGTTGCCGCAAGCCTGCCGGACACTCCTTCGTCGACTCCGCCAGCTGTGCAGTTCTCAAACCCGCCCGCCTCCGCTCACTCTAGGCCGCCATGTGTTTCGTTGTGAAAGCAAAACTACTTTGTTTGGCCTTCCAAAAGAGGACACGACTAGAAATCAGTGGTTAAATTGTATTTACAAAACTGTTCCAGAACAGTTCAACCCAAATATTCAAATGTGTCCAGCGCATTTTATGGAGGACTGTTTCCTGGTCCTGGTAGAGTAGACTTTTGTCTCGTCACTCCGGCCGGACAGGGCATCACAATATGGTAAGGGGCGTAACATTTCCATCACACGCTTGAGGTATTCAGCCAATCACAACGCACTGGATAGCTGGCCAATCAGAGCACACCTCGCTTTTCAGACCGATGAGCTTTGTAAAAATCGATGCGTTTCAGAAAGGCGGGGCATAGAGGAGAAACAATAATGTACAGTATGTGGAAAATAATGTGTTTTTTAACCTTAAACCGCATAAACACATTTAATTACACCAAATATACAAAATAATGTTCTTTTTAGCAACATCGTATGACCCCTTTAAAGTGTTTTTCAGTTTTACTTTGTGACCACCTTATGCATCATTAATAACGGAGGATGCAGTGCAAATTTTCTTTGCTATATTAAGTGCTTTAAGTGTCGGGCTAAAGCAA